TTGAGCAAGATATGCATTGGAGAAGTTGGGAAATCTTTGTGAATTTGCAAAAGTCAACTTTGCTCAAAACACATCATTTTTGCTAATGGGCCTCAAATTCCTTCTTGAAACATTGTCCAAGGCCTATGCACGACCCATTGGTATTATTTGAATTTATTTTCTCTTTTTCTATTAATTAATTGGATTTTTTTATTAATATTAATTCATTTAATTGATTTTAATTGTAGATAAATACCAAGATATGATTTCTAAATCTTTTTGTGAAGCAAAAGTGGTCAGCATATGATGGAGATTTCGTGTATCAATCAAGGGGACCAAAATCTCCAAAATTAGCAAGTTTTGGCAATCAAAAAGATGCAAAAATATTTGATTGAAAATCAAATATACAAACCATAATGCCATGGATTTTTGGACCAAGATTTACCCTAATTCAGTTCTACTATATATGCATAACCTAAACCTAATGCTGTACACGTGAAAAACTGCTGCAGAAACCATATGCAATATTGAAAAAAAAGTCAAGAAAACTCAAAACTGTTTTCTCACTCCCAGGCCTTTTCAAAGCGATTTAAGGACTCTAATACATTGCTAGCATTCCCAGAAACCTTTTGCAAATCAAATCAAGGGCTAACACTCAAAGAATACGCAAGAACGGTGATACGGTTTGCTTAACTTTTTTAGAATCGAAACTCACATTTTATGCATCATTAACATGTTATAATCATTGCTTTGCATTGCTAACACCTTTCTGAAGCTAATGGTATAGGTGAATTGCATTATGGTGTCCTGAAACGGAAATCACCATTGACGAGTTCTAGGTTTTTCAAGCTTCAAAATTAGGGCTTTCCCCATCCAGTAAAATCAGAACCTCTCATGCCTATGGTTAAGTTCGTGAGAATCAGACGAATCTAAACCACATGTCGCGCCATATTTATATAGCATAGAATTCTAATCGCTATTATTCCTCAAGCTATTTTGTGGGGGTTAAAAACCCCTGCTATCTCTTTATTCTTTTGCAGGAAAACGAAGAAGATGAAGGACGTGTTCCATCCTGATTAGTCCATTCAAAGATAGCGCGCACTTTTTATAGTTTCCAGCATAATTATTATTTTTGATATATTATGTTTGTTGGTTATTCTATTAACAGATGCAAGCGCCTGGCTCAGTGGATGATGATATGGCATGCAACCATTGGGACCTGGGTTCGATTCCCAGGTCCCCCAAACCTTTGTTTCTATTTTGTTTAACAAGATTATGTGCAGGCTTCCAAGAGAATTCCACCATGAACCTTCAGCGCTCAGCATGCCATGTGGCCACCATCACCAATCCAATGATCAAAAAGTGGAGAACACCATACTCCAAGTCAAAGCAACGTGCAGACAATCCCAGAGGTCAAACAGGCCTTAAAGCTTAATGGGATGGAAAGTTGCTAAGAGACCTCCTCTTTGGGCCCAACACCCCCCTGGTTTTACTATTTCTTTTTATTTTCTTTTTCTTTTAATTCCTTTTACTAACTATTATTATTATTATTATTATTATTATTATTATTAACTAACAAATTATTTTTATAATAAATTCAGATAATCAAAAAAAATGTAAATATTTTATTTATTTATATTATTTATTAATTTCACCTTAGTTTATTTTTGTAAATAAATGTAAATTAATTGATTTAGTTAAATTAGGTTAACTTTAATTTTTTTTTCATAATAAATAAAATAAACTTAGAATTAGGGTTTTCTTGACTTTTAATTTCCTTTATTTTTCATTAAAACATAAAAACCACAAAAATACTTTTTCTTTTAATTATTTAATTAATTAGTAAATTAGGTTTAATTCAATTAATTGCAAAAAAGGACAAATTACTTTCTTTTCTCAAAAAGGGTCAAAACCCTAAGACGTTCCCGATTTAATTTCTTTCACGCTTTAATTCCTTTTGATTATATTGATGTAACTGTTTCCGAGGATGTAATAGGTAATTAGGTCTTTTACCGTTTTCTTTACTTTTCTCGCACTTATTTTCCAAACGGGTTTTGTTTTTGGCGATGTATAGACCCGCGCCTTGTAATAGCGTAGATTCAATTTTCCGCAATTTATTTTCCGCAAACTATTAAACTGTTAATTATGCCTGCAAGACTTGTATGACAAATAAAATCAATCCGTAGCTCACAAAGATGCATGTTCAAAGATAATATGAATCGAAACAACACACATGCACATGCCACTCCTAGGGTATGCCTCACTGGTTGCCTCGACGTGGTCGTCAAGTATAGGGTGTTTTAGAGGTCGCCCTCCTGTCTAAAGATCCAGTTGCTTCGAAACGGTTGCCTCGGATAAAAAGGATCTAGGACATTAGGGTTACCGCTAAGGCGTCCTACTATTACTTTAGTGACTACACATGTCCTTATAACCGAATTGACCCGAATAACTCCAACGACGGTGCTACCTGCTTCTCAATAGTGGGATAGTACTGTCTAAAGGACTCTTACACAACCTAATTCCTTAGAGTAGGAAGATTTCTCCTGGGTACTTGCTCTTTCAAAAAACAAAAACATCTTTTCACACCCACACTTTCAAAAAGTTTTCAAACAAATACTTCATACACTCTTGAGGACTGATACAAGAGTTACCTAGAAGTTTTCAAAACGAAACTTTTTCAAAACCCATAAACACTTGAAAAGCAAACAATTTTTGAAAACATAGTGAGCAAGTACCTAAGAGCCCGTGGATAACCACGGATAGAAAGGGTGCTAACACCTTCCCTTTCTATAAATCTACCTCCCGAACCGAGAAACATTCTCGAAAAGGAATTTTGCTGTGCTTTTGTCCTTTCCATGTTGGAGAACATAAAAGACGGTGGCGACTCTTGCTTACCGCGACATTTCGCGAACCAGCTGTAGCGGTGAAAATCGGAGATCAAGCTATTAATTAACTTGACTCGCAAAAGCAAGAGTCGCCACCGTGCTTTATTATTTCCAAGGGAAAAGGGAAAAGAGCGAAATAAAACCCTAAAATATGCAATGTAAAATAATACTTAAAAGTAATGAAAATACGATGCGTTTTTGAAAGAGATCTAAAGTTCGGGGGTTGGTTATGCAATGGGAAGGTATTAGCACCCAATGCATCTGCGATACTCCGCAGGAACCTTTTGAAATATCTGTTTTTGGTTAAAATTGTTTGTTTGATTAAAATGGTTCATTTGGCTAAAAATAGGTGTTGGCGAGATTTTGAAGATACGACGACCTAGTATCGAAGTTTTAACTTAAAAGGGGGTGAGTTTTAAAATTGAGTTTTTTAGAAAAAATTAAATTAAGATTAACAAAATAGTAAAACAAAAATGAAGGAAGGTATTCGCTTAATCGTATAACATGTGTTTGATGACATGAAGTCAACAAAGTTAGAACGTTTCCCTTGGAGTTAAAACCACAGACAGATAAATAAGCTAAGAGTATACCAAACCTTAGGTGAAAATAAATCACAAGCCGACAGCATCAAAACCAGATGTAAGATATTACTCCAAGCAGCGAACAAAAATAGTGCAACACGTGAAAATAAATCACAGACGAGGAACGCGTGGATAAAGCTCACGGTACCAGATAAGGCTCGAGATATTGAATAAAGCTCACGGTATAAGGTTCCCTGCATCACATGAAATATACAGACAAAACTAACAGCATGAAAAAATTATATGCGTCCGTGCGATTTTTAGAAGTTAGTCGGAATTTAAAAAAAATAAAATCGCAATGCGATGAAAATAATATTTACATAACCTGAATTTATTTACAAATTAAGTGAATAAAATATATAGACAAAATATTATGAACAAGTATATATTTACAATACCAAATAAAATAAAATAATGAAATACAATAAAGAGGTAAAGGGAGAAAGAAAAAAGTGCAAATGCGCTATGCGAGTATGAATACTTGAAATGAATTCTCGGAAACCTTCACAGTAACAAACACGTTAGTAGCATAAGCGGTATAAAAATTAAAATGAAACGAAATTGCAATGATTAAAATATGTGTCAGTAAGTATGAAATAAAAAAATGAAATTGTATGACGCATATGAATAAATGAATATTTACACAAATGAAAATCAAGGATTCATGACATTATTCAATGTAAACACAAAAATCAGCATTGCATTCATTATTTCAAGTGTTTTTCATCAAGTAAACTCAAAGGAAATCGTTATTTCAACCACAACGGAAGAAAAAAAAGAATCAAAAGTTCACATTGAATTCAAAGTAGACTCAAAGATTATCATGGTTCTTAATTCAAAAAGGAAACGAAAAAACAAAGAACTCATGCCAATATTTCAAACCAAAACCGAAACATAGAAAATTGATTTCGAAACAAACTAACTTAATCGTACCAAATCTGGGCAGCAACTAATGAATACGAAACAACGTTCAAAACTCAATCTCAAAAATATTCAAAACAAGTGAAATGCATAATGATGCCTACAACCAAATTTTAATTTGAATTCCAAATGAATCTCGTCATAATCTCCTTCAAATTTGCTCGAATAACATGAAGAGAAAAAAATCAAGTTCAGTCAAAATCTTAATCGAGCAAATTATTCTGGGCAGCATAACAGTAAACACGATTATCACATCAAAAATGAAAACACAAATCAAGAACCAAGCAAATGATAATTATTCAATTCCAAACATGGTAAACCATGTTCTAAACAACCTTTTACTCCACCAAACCAAATCCGGGAAGCAGCTATCACAATCGAACTTCACAATCAAACCAATTTCACAGAGATTTTCTTATAGCGTAAAAGTTCTAACTCGAATGAGAAACAATTTGGGCTTAAAAATAGCAGATTCAAGACATATTCATGCACACAGATTCAATCACAGCATCAATCCAGAAATGTTTAAGCTATGAAATAATGATGGAAATTGATCTTACCAACTCATAAGTGAAGCGTCTGAACAACAATAGCGTTGAGGGGTTCAGAATTGAACTGAAGCTGAAGTGTTGAGTTATGGTATCGCGTTGCAGCAACAAATCATTTGCCTGACACCAAGAGTGAAAACAAGGAGAGCATGTTCACGGGTCTGACCGTCCTTGGAAATACCAGCCTCAAAACCACCAGTGGTGGAATCAATGATGAGAACAGCACAATCAGCTTGAGATGTTCCAATAATCACATTCTTAATGAAATCCCTGTGGCCCGGTGCATCAATGACAGTGCAGTAGTACTTAGTAGTCTCAAACTTCCACAGGGCAATGTCAATAGTAATACCTCTTTCTCTTTCAGCCTTGAGCTTGTCAAGCACCCAAGCATACTTGAATGAACGCTTGTTCATCTCAGCAGCTTCTTTCTCAAACTTCTCAATCACACGCTTGTCAATACCTCCAAGCTTGTAGATCAAGTGACCGGTGGTAGTTGACTTCCCAGAGTCGACATGGCCAATGAACACAATGTTAATATGAACCTTTTCCTTACCCATAAGTGCTTCTCAAAGGAAAAAGCTAGCCGCAAAGAAAGATGGATATGGTGGATACAGAGGTGGGGTTTCGACTATGTTACATATGGCCGCGGTAATGGTGGAGTGGGTAGGAGTTTGAGAGAATAATGGTGCAACAAGGTGGGGTGAGTGTATGTTGTTTGACGGAATTGATAAAGGGAAGCGGAGGAGGGATACGGCAGAATGAACAGAGGAAGAGTTACGATGAAGGAGAACAGAGGTGGATACTGTTTCACGGAAGGGGTAGCTAGCGGAATTGATGAGGATGGAGTGTTGTAGAGAGAAGGGCGGTGAGAGGGAGAGATGGTATGCTGAAGGTTGACGGTAAAGGATGAGCTAGCGGAGAGAGTTCAAGGCAGGAACAAGAATAGGAACAACATTTGGGATTGTGGAAAGAACCTCGCTCTCAACAGCTATTGCCGTGATATTGGTGGACGGTACATAAGCAACTACATTTTTATTTATCCATGCAATAGCTGCTGAAGGAGATTCTCCGATTCTCAATACCTCTTCATTGGTGACACCAACAATAACGTCAATGCTGGTGTTTGAAAGGGCTTGTAGTAAGTGCGCATTTGCATCATAAAGACGAACATGAGTAATCTGATGGGCTTTAAGAATAGAAACAATATTCAAAGCAGATGGCATATCAGAGACATCGGTGCCAATGTTTACCCCCACAAATGCACCAAATGTAGTGGTTAGCATAGCAGTAATGAGCAACAAAACACTTGCAAGCCAATTTTTAAGCTTCATCACATCCAGTATCACCTGATCTAGAAACCCTATGAGAGTTGAGTTGGTGGTATGTAGAACTAATTGAGGTTGTTTTTGTGGGCTTGGGAGGTAAGTGTTGTTGAATTGAGAGATTTAGATAGCAAATGTGAATGAAAGTGTTATTGATGTGTGGTTTGGAAGGTGAGTAGAGGTTGTTAGGCGGAGAGATGAGTGGTGTTTTCGCAGAGAAGTGAAAGGGTAATTGAATGGAGGGAGATTTGTGGGTTATGTTGGTGAAACAGTAAGGTGGGTATGCGAGAAATATGAGAGGGAATTTGGTTGCTGTAAGTAGAAAAGGGGAATAGAGGGTTATGCGTGGGAGAGGGTGAAGGGAATTAGGTGGATTGGTGATGTACAAAGGTGGAGTGGTGAGAGAAGGGAGTATGTTACTGTGTTGTTTTGTTTTTGTTTTTTGTTGTGTGTTTTTGTTTCCTCCCCTTTTTTACAAAGAAATAATGCTACTTAAATAGAAAAAATAAAGTGGAGATGGGTTTAAGATTGCAATCAGAGCCATTCAAAATAAACTCAATTTAGTGATCCGTTATTTTTGCTAACAACCAATAAGAATCAAGCACAGTGTAAATAATATATTTTTGTGACCAAATAGCCCTTAAATGATAAAAATGAAATAAAAATTGAAAGTATTAAAATTAATTCAATTTAAAATATATTTTTGTGGAATAAAAAATAAAGAGCTAAAATGACCGAAAACAATAAAAAAAAACGGATGAAAATTTATCCGAAAAAATAAAATGAACACATTAAAATAGACTACATGTCACAAAGATTAAAGAAAAAATATTCAAAAAAGTAAAAATAGGAATAAAATGATAATGAAAATACCAGGCTAAATAGACGTTTTACGGTTAAAAACGAGACTTCAAACTGTATCGAAAAAATAAAGCGAGCATACCGTCATAATCTATGCGAGATATAGATTCATAAAATGATCGGTAAAAGGTGAAAACTTGAAATATTTTCTCGCTACTTTCCCGCATAGTGTCGAATCGCTTTTAACAGTCTGTCTATAAAACCGAAATATTTTATTATCGACATATAAACAACTTGGAGCAGTGCAAGAAAATAGTAAACAGATAAAAATGAATGAAGTGAAATGTCGGGTATTTTACAACTGAAAGACGATGCAAACTTTGATTTAAACTGACTTTTTCTGGTCAACTTAAATACGACTAATGATGAAAAATATGATGAATGAAGATATTTACTAATGATTGTGACCAAATGACAAAATATGGTATGAATGTGCGACTGAAAAAATTAGGGGCGAAATTAAGGGTGCAACAGTGTGCCTTGATGAATCAGTCTTCGAGAATCCATAATCAACCGTACTTTTGGCTTGGGAGACTCAAAACCTTAATTGAGGCGCGACACATGATGCTCTTGATTCAGACCTGTCTCTGCACATGACACAAAAGAAAACATGAACATACACCTTTGTATGCGATTAGAAATTAATGATACATATGCTAAAAATGTTCAAAACATTTGACAATCTTCGCATAGTCAAAGCTCGAAGGTGAGACGTTAAAACCGACCGTATTTCGTGACCTCGACTTATCTTTAAAAAAATGCAAAAAATAAAAAAAATGAGATCTTAGGTCAAAAATTGGGGTACAACACCAGCTTTAAAACAGTCAGTTCTATTTCCACCAATCACAGAACTGGCGACTCTACTGGGGATTTTTAATAAGTGAGGTGTACCTTAGGATTAGACCACTCTTATGTTTTCAATTGTATGTCTTGATTGCTTTTATATTTGTGGGCTTGCATCGGAGTTTCATAGATCCTAACCCGGATATGGGGAAAAACCTTTTAGGTAGCATAAGCTGTGAGGGACCTGTCCGGCGTAGACCGACACGGGTGAAGCAGTGGCTACATTGGTGTGACACCTTGGTCTGTACCGATATCCCTTGTGTTGCAACGAGGAGAATATGGGTCTTCTGAGGAGTCATTAAGCACCAACCGACCTTAGAACCCTAAATTGACCCAACTTGGCCATAGAACAGTAGCAGTATGCTACACTCATTGAGGCTAAACTCTCGCGATGGTTCTGGCCGCAAGAAAAGATTGCGATGCTGGAGTTATGACCGATTGAGGGTAGTCGATGATATTGAGATCCTCTAGAACCCGGTTACTATTTTCTAGGACAGGTCTTAACCAACAAAACTGAAAGAGGGTAGTACCTAAACTTCATGCTGGCCTAAACTCTAATGGTTGTCTTGTGTGACTTGTGTGCCTTATCATGTTTGCCTTTGTGAATACTTGTGGTGTGCTTTATCATAACGTCATACCATCATACCATTGCATGCATCCTGCATAAGGACTGACCCATTTCAAAGACAAGAGGGTTTCATCTTTTCTCTGTTTTGTAGGACATTATGATGCCTGTGCGAAGGAATACTATCCGACTCAACTTTGTTCACCCACCTGATTTGCTTAAAGAGTTGGTTGACAGAATTCCAAATACTACTTCCTTCATCCAGAGGCATGGTTCTCTTCTCGGTTTAGTCACTTCAAAGTGGGACCACCAACTGATGAGTGTCCTGACCCAGTTTTATGATCCCCTGTACCATTGCTTCACCTTTCAAGACTTCCAGCTGGTCCCTACCCTGGAAGAATTCTCTGATTTGCTTGGTATCCCTGTTTTGGAGCAGACTCCATTCACTGGTTGGGAAAAGACTCTTAGGCTTGAGGAGATTGCTGCAGCCCTTCCCTTGACCAACAAGGAGGTAATGGATAACTGGGTGACTAGAAGCGGAGTTAAGGGCTTTTTGGCTAAGTTCCTGATTGGTAAAGCTAACAGTTTCTGGAATGACTTAGGCTTCAGGGCGTACGAAGACATCCTGGCTCTCTTAATCTATGGTCTGGTATTGTTTCCAAATCCTGATAACTTTGTTAATGTCAATGCCATAAGGATCTTCATGTCTCGGAACCCTGTGCCCACTCTCTTGGGTGATATCCTGCAACAACTCTATGCTCGTACTTCTCGAAGACGGGGAACTCTGTGGTGTTGTGCTCCTTTGTTTGTGAGGTGGTTTATTTCGCACCTCCCTAAGTTCGTGCTGAAGAACAAAGAAGGAAGAGACTGGGCTCATAGGTTAATGTCTCTCACTGATAATGACATCATTTGGACTCTCAGAGGTTTGGATGAGGTACCTGTTATTGATCGTTGCGGAGAATATCCTAATGTTCCATTGATTGGTACCCAGGGAGGAATCTCTTATAATCCATGTTTAGCTCTCCGTCAGTTTGGAAGAGCCAGAAGAGCAGGGCCTCATGAGATGTTGGTACCTCACATCAGTTTTGAGTTTCAGGTAGACAGTGACGAGCTACGTCATAGATTCATCCGGGCTTGGGACAGAATTTACAAAGCTGACCCACATGAGTTGGGACCGAAGACTTCTCTACCAATGGAATCCTATTACAGATGGGTCCGCATCCGTGCTCAGGAGTTAGGTATGCCATAAGAAGCTGTCAGGCCTATTACTCTTGAATTTCCTGATAGAGACGGGGTCCCTCCAACTGTCCTCCCTCCTCAAATACCCACTGATGTTGGTACACTAAAGAGGTCTTGGGCACAACTGCAAGAAGAACGAGATTCTTATCGGGAAAGGCTCAATGAACAGGAACAAAAAATCCAGAAGCTGACCAAGCAGTTGGAGAACGAGCGGATCCTGAATGACTATATCCTCACCGAGAAGAGGAGGCCATGGGAGCACTGATAGACTTTAGATGTTTCTTTTACAGCTTTTATTTCCTTTTCAATATTTTCATTCTTGTAACGCCTAAGGGAAATTTCTTGAACAATTTAAAGTTGAATCTAATAAAGTGTGTTTCCTTTTATCTACAAAGTTGAATCCCGACTGTCTTTGAAAACATAAATCATACGCATCTCATTCATCATATGCATAACATGTAATTTTTCTACAGGTTGCTTAATCTTCTTCGCTGTTTATTTCAGCAACCATCATGAATTCTGAGCCTACTACAGAACAAGCTATCAAGGCTCTCCAGGCCCAGAACGCCCAGTTTCAAGAGCTGGTCATGAGCTTAGCCCAAGGACAACAGGAATTGAAGACTCTGCTTTTGAAGAAGAAGAAGAAGAGGACTATGTTGTTCAACGCTGGACGGAGGTTTGGGAATGCACTGCAAAACGAGGCTGATCCGGCTACTTCCTCTGTAGG